GTTCGTTCGGTTAAGTTAAACGAACGAATATTAACAAGCCTCCGTTCGTGTTCGTTCGGTTCGATTACAACCCTATGTAGGATAAGAAAAATCCCAATCTATACACATCCAGTAATCTGTAGTATTTAGCCAACTRTAGGATCTTCATCTAATAGACAGCTATTTGGAATTTCATTTTTCCTTGTTCTCTAAATCACAAATGGCAGCAACAGAAGGTTCTCAATTTTGAGTAGTATGCTCTCATCAAGATTAATATTTTATAAACAGATGCAAATATGTGTGACTACAGAGCATCCTTTTGTGAAATATCTCGAGACCAGGTTCCCCTTCTCTAACATTCCTTAGTAAGACTTATAAGGAGTCTAGAAGGTCTGCAATGTAAGGAGTCTAAGAAACCTTATACAAAGCTCTAGACAAGGTAATCTATTCTAMAACCATGCATCGACCATCCTCAGGTGCATCAATTTAACCATTGCAAACAAAGTATTTTATAATGTAAATTCTAAAAGAAGACTAAAAGACATTGTTTAACACCACCTTAAGGAGCATCATAATATGAATTCAACATCAATTTAACCATTGCAAACAAAGAATTTTTTAATATGCAGTCWRATTTAGGGCACAATCAAATCACTTGGAAGAAACACGGGAGAAGAAACACCAATAAGAGATTAAGAATCACATGATGAAAGAACTTATTGGAGAGGATTCATACCTTGTGAATGCCGCTGGTGCTGGCGTCGACCGGAGAGGCAGCCAGAAGTGTGAACAGCGACGTCTTGGGCAACGAGGGCAACGATGGCTGTTGTGGGCGTCGACCGGAGAGGCACTCAGAGGAGATAGTCGAGACGATAGACTAGGGCAACGATGGCTGGTGTCCGGGTCGACCGGAGAGGCCGCCGGAGGAGATAGTCGAGCAAGGGAGACTCTTCGATACTCAGATTTTGAAGATACTCAAATTTTGATTGTTAATCTTTTTTTAATAATATTCATGATTTGGCAAATTAATATCCACCTAATATATCTTTAAATTATAATTTGCCAACTCATCATAAATTACTTGTTACCAGCTAAACAGGTCAACCAGACCCTTAAATAAATAAAAAGTTTGATAAAGATCCTTAAATGATAATTTTGAAAGTTGGTTCCCCAAAATAGGAATTAGGTGAAAGTTGGTTCCATTTTGATACAATTTCCCTAACATAAAAAGGTCACTCTAGCATTAGTAACTATGCGAAGATATGATAAAGTGCACATACAAATGTGGTTCACCTCAGATCATTAATCACTATCAGTATTAACAAGTACAGTATCTTTTTCATCGTCTTCATACTTAGATTGGCCATAAATTCATCAGATTCATCTTCATCAAAATCATCAACAACATACGGGGTAGAAGTTGTGCCTAGATTTAAGTTCATTGATATTATGTATTTATATATGATTAACATCATCATGATCATACTCAACATCAATATATAATAGAAATCTCTATCCATAACTCTAGAAATACAAGTTTGAAACAGTAAACGAAACCCATATAGGGAGCATAGGTTGAAGACTGAAATATGCTAAAAGAAGCCGGGAGCTTTAAAAGAGGCATGCTGCGAGAGAGACAATGGCTGCTAGGAGAGCAGGCACTGGCAATACCATTCCAGCGCTCTCCATTGACGGAGAAGGTGCTGGTGCCGCACCAAACTCTTGAGCCATTATTCCAGAAGTGGTAAAGGCTAGGAGGACCATCATTGTGATGGTGAGAGCAGTGGTCAGCTTGACACTTCCCATTTTGGTGAGTGTTCTTTGTGTTTATTCACTTGTACGAATTGAAAGGCTACTGGGTTTTGGAGTTCGTATGGATGGAAGGGAAAAGGAGTGGATGGCTTTTATAGCAGCTGTTTAGTGGGGATTAATGGAGGAATCAAACAGCTAATCGCATGGTAAATATTGTTTTTAAAGCAAAGCGATAATCATTTGACAGAAAGTGGCCATCAAAGCAAACTCTTGATGTATGATTCTCAAGTCTCAACTCCATTTTGCCATTGTCTACCAGGCTGGAAAAAGTTCTCCACCATGATACCTTACTCGTCGTATGTGATTTATTTATTCTATTTAACGAATTATAATGCAATTTTGACATCAGTGGAACGAATTGTATTTTTTCTTAATTTTGACCTGATAAGAATCTGTTGGCGCAATCAAAGATAAAAAAAATTGACAACTAAATTAATACATAAGAAATGTTTCACAGCTGCCATGGGAGTTCTGAGTTTGTAAACTTCAGTTTAATAATTGGAGAGACTGATTAGTTCTTTGTATTTCAGTTACTATATATATATATATATATATATCATTTGTAATAAATTACACTTACAATGCACTCATGAGCACTCATTGTCTCGTTTATGCTTATTTATATGAGTGATTAAACAACTCTGAATTGAAGACCAATCATTTTGAAAATCAACTTTGATTGAATAGTGTTGAATCAATATGCACAGTATTTTGTATGCGAATAGTGTCATCACTATTGCACATTAATTAGTTGAATCAATGTTCTTTTTTTCTCTTCTTTCTATTTCACAAGTGTGAACCATGTGGATGTTATGATTAATGTTTATGAGGACATGCATTAACTAATGTGTAAAGGGTTTATAATAGTAGCATTTCTAAACCATTGGCTGGGCCTGTCTAACTTTTCTTGTAATTGCTTTTTAGCTTGAAATAAAAAAATTCCCCAGTTCCGTACAAAAAAGAGAGAAGTTGAGAGTGTAATAATCTAATTATATCTCTACGTATAAGGGATTAATGGTGTTAGATTGATGTTGCAAACGTAGGTGTTGTTTGTTGGTTTTATATCAAGTCATTTTGGGATTAACTTGTCTGTATAGATTGAGAATGTTTATCATAGATGAAATGAACACGTTTTTTAATTGAGAAAAACAAGCTTGAAAAAAAAGCTTGGTTTTCTGTATAAAACTTCCCCTGTAAGATTATCTAAATAAGGTACTTTCTTTATCATTAATAGTCATCTATAGCCATCTGTGAAATGAGTCTCATTAAACTCGTTAAGCTACTTAGAAACATGTTATGAGGCACTTAGTCATTATTGCTTGTGAGCTTTGTTGATCTCACAAACTAAATTAAATGTGTTTATAT